GTTCTCCAGAGGCCCAGATTTGTACATTTATTTATTTAATTCAAACTCATTCTATAATGGGCACTGATAATTTTATAACTTAAGTACTTCTGGAATATTCCCTCCGTTCAAGCCTGCATTGTCTTTATTTTGCACAATTGCCTTCTAGTTCATCTTCCTCCATTTATTCATGTGTCCTTCAAATTCATCCACCTCACAGCATTTAGGATGATCTTTCTCTATTGCCAATATATGCATGAACCACTCTTTAAAACATTCATGTCTAAGCATCTTCCAGTGACACGTGAGGCTTTCATAATGTGATTTCTGCCTAATTCTCCATCATTAGTCCTTTCCCCTGTCTTCCCTTTTCTCTGGCGTTACTGAACTGCTGGAGATGCCATTCTCACTTATTCCCATGTTTCCAACAAATATGTACCCAGTTTAATGCTTCTCTCCCTCTCTTGCTATTGCCTGCGTGCTCTCATCCTTTGGTGTCCTCTACACCTTTTAATCTGCCTAACTTCCTTTTTCTAAGTCTTAACTCAGGCATTGTCTCTGGAAAAGCCATCTAGAACACTTTTTACTTGCATTCTTTAAACCCCAGTGCCTAGCATGGAGCAGAAACTCTATAAATAATAATTGAGTGAAAAAAACGAAGACTCTTTATACAAAGATGATTTAAAATATTGTCCCCTGTGTTCCAGGGGCAAAGGGGATAGACATGTAAAGAAATAACTTACAGTTCTATTGGTCACGATCCAGTAGAAAAATGGATAAAGTACTAAGGTATCCCTAAGGAGAGAGACACTGACCGGCTTATCTGGGGAAAGCGAGCCATACTCAAGGAAGACTCCTCATAAGGGGCCAAGTCTTAAAAGATGAAAAGAAATTTGTAAGAATAGAGAGGAAAGCATTTCAGATAAAAGGAGCAGAGTGTACATTGCTAAGGGTGTAAAAAGTAACAGTAACTTTTGAAAACATTAATAATGGACCAAAAATATTACATGCATGAGGTAGAGAATGGTGTACAATTTTACTTTTCTGTGTTTCTGCTGTATTTTAAAATTCTGTTTTGTTGCTGAAGGATTTGTTCACTTATGTTGGGTGGGTGAATTTGCGAATGAATCTTTGAGATGTTTATATGCCTTCAGGCTGATGACAGCTAGTGTGTTCATAAGTGGTTTGTTGATGTTTTGGATAATTAGAAGTACTTTTTTTCCTTTTTGTCTTTTTTCTGACCGGTGACGGGATCGCAACCCTCGGTGTTGCGTCCGCACCGTGCTCAGCCAGTGAGCGGGAACCGGTCTCCACATGGGATCCGAACCCTCAGCGGGAGCGCCGCTGCGCTCCCAAGCAGCACACTCTCCAGTGCGCCCCCGGGCCTGCCCTAATGAGAAGTATTTTTTAAAGAAGCAAATATTCAGCTAAAGATTAAACTTCATTTTAATTCTCAATTTATAAAATACAAATAGATGTTAATTTCTGTCTGTTTTTAGAAAGATGTACTTTATTTAATTTTTCTAAATAGTACTTTTTAACTAAATATATAGGCTTGTCAGCAGAACTAGACTTTAGAATGACAGCAGAGAAAGAGCGAGAATGGCCTGATGGAAATGAAAATAAGCAGCCGCGGGTAAGTAAAAATGGAAACTGAAAAGTGTGGCTGATTTTTATTTTCTTTGCCTTAATAATGTAGCATAGTCCAGATGAAATTTGCATGGACTAGCCTTTTAGAAACAGTAGATCATAACTATTTAATATTTAACTTCATTTTAACTAGTTATAAAACTTTAAATATTCTTAGAATCTATAGTAACATATAGCTAAATTTTACCCTTGGAATTGAGACAAAAATTTTTCTGAATATTTTTTGGTCTTCCATTTTTGTAATCCCCTTACATGATAAAGAAGGTAACATCAAATATTGAATCATATGATGAACAATATAAATGTCATGGCCGCTGAGTTGGACTCGTGTTAAGGAGCAGTCACCCCCAGTAGTTCAAAATTTGCAGTTTTTATATTGCTGGTCACTAAAGCCAAAGTTAAAGATTTATTTTGCCTTGTGGTTTCTAATTGACTTGTGTCTATGCTCAGGGAGAGAATGGGGTCATAAAATCAACCCAACTGCTTATCAAAAGAATCATACCTTCTAGAACAGGATCTTTGGTGTTAGGGTACAAACAATAACTTACTAACCTGTTTCATTCCAATGGAGGAAATCACTAATGTTTTATTAGCATATTCATTATTACAAATCTTAATTATTCTTTATGCCCCTTACCTGACCAGTTACTCCCCAACCCCCTCCATCTCTTCCCTCCTCTATTATCTTTAGGTTTGTTCTCTCTTTCTGAAAGTTCAAGGTACTATTGTTGTTTATTTCTTTCTCTCTATCTTTCTTTCTTTTCTTCTTTCTTAAAACCCAGTTATGAGTGAGGACATGTGATATTTCTGTCTGGCTTATTTCACTTGACATGATTTTCTCCAGACTCATCCATGTTGCTGCAGTGGTAGAATTTCATTATTTTTTTAAAGCTGAGTAGTATTTTGTTGTGGATATGTACCACATTTTCCACATCCAGTCATCCATCAATGGGCACTTAGGTTGGTTCCATGTCTTGGCTATTGTAAATAGAGCCGCGATGAACATGCGAGTGCAGGTATCCATTCAACGTGATGATTTCCATTCTTTTGTGTATATACCCAGTAGTGGGATTGCTGGATCATATGGTAGTTCTATTTGTAGTTGTTTGAGAAACCTCCATACAATTTTTCATGATGGCGGTACTAATTTATAGTCCCACCGACAGTAGAAGTGTAACCTTTTGCCTGCATCCTCACCAGCATTTGTTATTCTTATTCTTTAAATGGCCAGTCTAACTGGGGTGAGGTGATATCTAAATGTGGTTNCTACCTGCAGTTGTTCACGAAGCCTCCATGCTGTTTTCCATAATGGCTATAATATTTTACAGTCCTACCAACAGTGTAGGAGGGTACCCCTTTCTCCACATCCATGCCAATATTTGTTATACTCAGTCTTTTTAAAACTAGCCAGTCTAATTGGGGAGAGATGATACCTCAGTGTGGTTTTGATTCGTATTTCCTGATGATTAGTGATAGTGAGGATTTTTTCATGTGTCTGTTGGCCATTTGTATATCTTCCTTTGAAAAATGTCTATTCAGCTTCTTTGCCCATTTTTTAATTGGATTATTTTATTTTATTGAAGGCGAAGTTGTTTGAGTTCCTTATATATTCTGGATATTAATCCTTTGTCAGGTGTACAGTTTGAGAATATTTCCTCTTATTCTATATGCTGTCTTTCTGTTCAGTTGATTGTTTCCTTTGCTGTGCAGAAGTTTTTAGTTTGATATAATCCCATTTGTTTATCTTTTCTTTTATTGCTTGTGCCTTTGGGGTCTTATTCTTAAAGTTTTGCTCAATTCTACTTCCTGATGTGTTTTCCCTATGTTTTCTTTTAGTAACTTCATGGTTTCATGTCTTATACTTAAGTCTTTAATCCATTTTTCATTGATTTTGGTATATGGTGAGAGGTACAGGTCCTCTTTCATTCTTCTGCATATAGATGTTCAATTTTCCCAGCACCATTTATTGAAGAGGCAGTCTTTTCCCCAATGTATGTTCTTGTTGCCTCTGTCAAAGATCAGTTGGCTGGAAGTATGTGGGTTGATTTCTGGGTTCTCTATTGTATTCCATATACCCAGTAGTGGGATTGCTGGATCATATGGTAGTTCTATCTGTAGTTGTTTGAGAAACCTCCATACAATTTTTCATAATGGCAGTACTGATTTATAGTCCCACCAACAGTAGAAGAGTAACCATTCACCTGCATCCTCACCAGCATTTGTTATTCTTATTCTTTAAATGGCCAGTCTAACTGGGGTGAGGTGATATCTCAATGTGGTTTTGCTTTGCATTTCCCTGATAATATCGTGATGTTGAGCATTTTTTCATGTGTCTGTTGGCCCTTTGTATGTCTTCCTTTGAAAACGACTGTTATCTCCTTTGCCCATTTTTAAATTGGATTTGTTTTATATTGGGTTATTTGTAGTTGCTTGAGCTCCTTATATATTCTGGATATTAATCCGCTGTCAGGTGTATAATTTGAAAATATTTTCTCCCACTCTGTAGGTTGTTAATTGTTTATTATGCTGTGCAGAAGCTTTGGAGTTTGATATAATCCCATTTGTTTAATATTCCATTTGTTGTCTGTGCTTTGGGTGTCAGGATCATAAAGTCTTTGCCCAGTACTACTTCCTGAAGTGTTTCCCCTGCATTTTCTTTTAGGAGTTTTATAGTTTCAGGTCTTATATTGAAGTTTTTAATCTATTTTGAGTTGATTTCGATATATGGTGAGAGGTACAGGTCTAGTTTCATTCTTCTAGGTATGGATGTCCACTTTTCCCAGCACCATTTATTGAGGAGGCATTCTTTTCCCCCTTGTGTGTCCTTGTCTTTGTCAAAGATCAATTGGCTGTAGGTTTGTGGGTTGATTTCTGGGTTCTCTATTCTGTTCCATTTGTCTAGGTGTCTCTGTTTTTATGCCAGTACCATGCTGTTTTGATTACTATAGCTTTGTAGTGTAGTTTGAAGTCTGAGAGTGTTATGCCTCCAGCTTTATTATTTTTTTGGTCGAGATTGTTTGGGCTATTAGGGGTCTTTTGTTGTTGCATATGAATGTTAGGATTGTTTTTTCTATTTCTGTGATGAATGTCATTGTTATTTTGATGGGGATTACATTGAATCTATAGATGTCTCTGGGTAGTGTGGACATTTTCACAGTGTTAATTCTTCCAATCGAGGAGGAAGGAATATCTTTGCATCTTTTTATGTCCTCTTGAATTTCTTTCAACAGTGATTTGTAGTTCTCATTGTGGAGATCTTTCACATCCATGGTTAAGTTGATTCCTAGGTATTTTATTTTATTTTTGTGACTATTGTTAATGGGCTTGCTTTCTTGCTTTCTTTTTCTGCTAGTTTGTTGTTTGAGTATAAAAACGCTACTGATTTTTGTATGTTGCTTTTGTATCCTGCAACATTACTGAAATCATCTGTCAACTCTGAGAGTTTTTTTGTAGAGATTTGGGGCTGTTCTACATATAGGATCATGTCATTTGCAAACAGAGACAGTTTGACTTCATTTTTTCCAATCTGGATGCCCTTTATTTCTTTGTCATGCCTGGTTGCTCTGGCTAGTATTTCCAGTACCATGTTGATTAGGAATGGTGAGAGTGGGCATCCTTGTCTCATTCCCATTCTTATTGATATTGGTATTGGCAGTAGGTTTGTCATACACAGCTTTTACTGTGTTGAGATACTTTCCCTCTATACCTAATTTGCTGAGACCCTTTATCATGAAGAAATGTTGAATTTTGACAAATGCTTTTTCTGCACCTATTGAGATAATCATAAGTTTTTTGTCTTTGATTTTGTTGATGTGGTATATCACATTTATTGATTTGTATATGTTGGACCATCCTTGCCTCCCTGGGATGAATCCCACTTGACCATAGTGTATAATTTTTATGATGTTTTGTTGTATTCTGATTGCTAATATTTTACTGAGGAATTTTGCATCTCTGTTCATCAAGAATATTGGCCTGTGGTTTTCTCTTTTCTTGTTTCTTTGTCTGGTTTGGTATCAGAGTGATACTGGCCTCATAGAATGAGATTGGGAGAGTAGTCTATGTTTTAATTTTTGGAATAGTCTGAAGAGAATTGGTATTAACTCCTCTTTAAAAGTTTGGTAAAATTCAGCAATAAAGCCATTGGTCCTGGGCCTTTCTTTGTTGGGAGAGTGGTGATTACTACTTCAATCTCATTGTTTGTTATTAGTCTGTTCAGGTTTTCTATTTCTTCTTGGTTCAGTCTTGGTAGTTTGTATGTGCCCAAAAATTTATCCATTTCCTCCAGGTTTTCATATTTGTTGGCATATAGTTGTTTATAATAGTTTCTAGTGATTCTTTGTATTTCTGTGGTATCAGTTGTAATGTCTCTTTTTTCATTTCTTATTTTTATTATTTAGATTTTTTTTTGTAACCTAGCTAATGGTTTGTCTATTTTCTTTATCTTCTCAGAAATAAAACTTTTGTTTTTACTGATCTTTCATATCATTTTTGGGGTCTCTATTTCATTTAGTTCTGCTGGAATCTTAAGTATTTCCTTCTATCTACTACTTTTAGGATTGGATTGGTGTTGTTTTTCTAGTTCTTTGAGATGTAGCACTAGGTAATTTATTTTAAGTATTTCTATTGTTTTGAAGTAATCCTTTATTGTGATAAATTTCT